AATATTTAAGATTGTTGGCCGCATTGAATATGTTCACATATTTAATGTAAGTATGTAGGCAACTCTTAATTTCAAGAAGAAACATATACACGTGTTGTCAAAACGATAATGAACGAACAAAAAATACAGTTTCCTCTAACAAAACAAAAAAAAAAAAAAAAATACTGAAAGAAATTCAAAATGGCAAAAAAAGAAATGAATTTGCTAAAGAATATAATTTTGGAGTGTCAACTTTATCAAAAATTATAAATAATTCCACAAATTTAGAAAATAATTATTTTACACCGAATAATGTGAACAAAAAGAGAGACAGAAAACTAAAATATGAAGCACTAAACAAAGAAATGTCAATTTGGTTCGAGCAAATGATGCAGAAGGGGGCAATAGTGACTGGACCAGCACTTATGGAAAAGGCTCAACAATTTGCTGTAGATTTGGATGTCCTCGACTTCAAACCAAATTCTGGTTGGCTTCAGCGGTGGAAAAAAAAGCAGAAATATAAATTTTAGAAAACGCCACGGCGAAGGTGCTTTTACCGACACTGAGTATGTCAAAATTTCCGGGAATATGTTTTGCCTTCATTATTGAAAAAATATGCGTTAGAGGATATTTATAATGCAGACGAAACAGGACTCTTCTATAAAGCACTGCCAAATGGATCATATGGTTATGGAAGTCCTCAAGTTAGAGGAGTCAAGACACCAAAAGACCGAATAACATTGCTTTTTATATGCAATGCAACTGGTTCTGATAAATTTGTTTACTCAATCGGCAAAATTAAGCAACCAAAGTGTTTTCACGGAAAAAATCACTCCCATATCCTATAAGTATAACAAAAAGGCTTGGATTAAAGAGCTAGATGATAAACTTAAAAAAACACAAAACAAAAATTTGCTGCTGATCGATAATGCTTCGTGCCACAAACTTGACTTTACACCAGAAAGTATTGATATTAAAAATTAATTCTTCCACCATGTACCACAAGCATAATTCAACCATTAGATCAAGGTATGTATGTAGATATGTAAAGCAATTTAAATCCACATTAAAACACAATCTAATGTTGGTTATTTTATGTTTTATTTAAAATTATTTGAAGGTATTATTCAATCCTTGAAATGCTAATGAAGAAAATGTCTAATTCGGGAACAAATATTAGCAATTGAAGGTGATTATATGGAATAATTCTTAAAAAGCATTTCAATTTTAAGGGCTTTATATATCGTAAGACACAAATGATGCAAAAGTGCTTCAAAAAAGCTGGGATATACAAGGAAGACGAATCTAATAAACCTGGTATCACTGAAAATATCTTTGACGATCAATGCAGCACCTTTTTCGAAGAAATGTCTGATTTGGAAAACCATGGTTGCTTTGGTATCTTAAATGATACTAAAATAGTAAGTGAAGTACAAGGTCACAGTTCTAACGAAGAGGAAGTAGTGATAGTTCCTGAGACCACATCTTAGCCAAGCAGAGAAGAGGCCATTAAGGCGCTATTTGTTTTAAAAAGTATATGATGATATTAATATTATTAACATTGAAAATGTTTTATTTCATCAGCGTGATAACTTCTTAGGGCACAGATAAAAAAGAGAATAAGAGACTTGTTTCATTCTATTTGAATGAACATATGTACCTATTGTTAGTCAAACTATGAACAAATTTTAATTTTGTTATTTTTGTTTATTTAAATATTAAGTTTTTAAGATACTGAATTTTTTCTTGACAAACTGTGATTTTAATTTCGTGATTTTGTATTTTTATATACTGAATTGTTTTGTTTAATATTGTCCTTAAAACAAGCTTTTCATTTAAACATTTTGCTTTAAGAGAATATATTCGTATAAGAAAGAGATTTCTTATATGCGTATGTACTCTTATATGGAACAACTTTCTTATATCTGATAATTCCATAAAGGAAAAAAATCGCATATAAGGAAGAAATCTCTGACTTTTTTGAGTTTCTTATATCCGATAGTAAATTTGGCTTAATCTTATATCTATCATGTGACTTTCATATATTATTTTCGAATATTTCCCCGAACTTGGTATGGTTTTTTTTCCCCTGTCTTCTGTAGTCATTAATGTATCTCCTAGACTCTGAACTGTTTGTCTTTATTTAACTGCAGTTTTTTGTGTCCAGTTATTTTCACACAAAATATCTTTTTTATGCGTTCGTAATTTTTCATCCTAAATACTTTTTGACAAGGATTATTGCAATAATTTTTTCTTTAAATAATGTAGCACTCACATGTTGGAATAAGTATTCAATGAAACCAGCACAAAAAGCTTTCAGCTATAAATTATACTGCTATATATCTGTTATTGTGTTCTTTTTTATGTTATTACAAATAATATAAAAGGTTTGAATCAAATATTGGTATTTTTATTTGAAGAAAGTAGCTTTATTCTATTTTTATAACAAAGTAAATTGTTCTAACTTTTCATGCTTCTACATATAATACATATTATTATTACAAAATATTTATATTTATATGTGCCTGAGAATAGGGTCTGAAATTATTCTTTAAAATGAGGTTCCCTTGATTTAATTGTACCATGGCCTTATGTATAGTGCTATAAATCTTTTAAATTGTGTGCAGTACCTGCTACTATCAACAATTTATATTGTTTTAACGAAAATCTGTTAAATGTTGTGTGCCTTTACACGAATCAAAATAATGTAGTACATATTCTGAGTAGCTTAAATCCGTGGATTTGGTGCTTGTCAGAAAAACAAAAAACATTTTAGCTGTATGTATAATGCTGTAAATCTATTATTGTTATATTTTGTGTGTTATTGTACATGATTTACACATAACGAAAAAAAAAATATTTGTACAAACATGAAATATGAAACATGAAACACTCGAACATAAACTTCTCTAGAAATATCAAAATTAATATGCAAAACCGAAAAAATTATGTAATACGCCAACTTTTCTAGATAGAAATGACCAATACACTTATCAAAGATTATGTACATAATAAACACAAAGAATGCTGCATTAAAGAAATTCAAAATATACCATTGATTTGTATGTGTTAGCAGATAGAAATCAATGATATATATTTCAGAGATATCATATGAGTTTACAACAGCTCACAAATGTAAAACACGCTAAACAAACTGAAGAGAATAATGTTGTATACCAGATTCCTTGTGCAGGTAATAATACAGGAACCTATCAGAGTGTGGGAACGACTACGAACAAATTAAAAAGAAGGATTTCTGGTTACAAGTCAGATTTCACATTTGAACATAACCATGAGAAACCAAATTAAAAATCAAGATTTCTGGTCACAAGTCAGATTTTAAATTTCGACATAACCATGGGAAACCAAAAACTGCAGCTGGGAATGCTAATTTGAAATGAGATTACCCTTATTTCATTGTACCATGGCAATATTGAAGATACTAAGGAAATGAGAACATCTCAACAATTGCTTGGAAAACAACTTAACAAAATTAATAATATTGTACTCTTGGGAACTCAAATAAAACAAGTACACATAAGTTATTTTCAAAAACTGATGTCATACATATAGAAGAACAAAACATACAATATAATAAGAACTGGTTGTGTATACGAATGCGTAAACTTCAGTGGAGATCACTGTCAGGTGGAGTTAACGGCCACTGCGGCAAAATTTTAACAGCCTGTTCCACGATATCGAAAGAAGGAAAATTTGCACGAAAATCAAAGCGAAAGAAAACGTTAGCGTTTCAGTGTAATTTTGCGTTCCACTATCCTTTTTCTTTCGTACGCATGCGAACACAATGTCAAAATCAGTCACTTGTTTGTTTGTCGTACGATAACAATTAAGGAAAATTGTTTTAACATAAACATTGCTTGATTGAAAATGGAATCAAAAATGTAAGTAAAAATAATAAATGCAATTTAATATGTGAACAACAAATATATTTTTTTATTTTCTCAATTCCAGCACGAAAAAATCATCAACTGCACAGCTGCGGGCACTAGTTGAGTATATAGAGGAGAATCCTGAGTTCGCCAGAGGAGTGCCAATTTTTTGGAAGCAGCAGGCAATTCCTGGTAGACCGCACAATTGCAGAGTGGAAAAAGGTAAGTCAGAAAACTCGGCTTACGATCTATTTGACTGACCGGCATTACTATTTACAGACGTAGGCCGATCTAAAGTCCCGCACCAAAAAGAAAATTGCTGAAAATATAAAAGGGCTGCAAGGAACAGGTGGTGGTTTATACCGGTTTGAGTGCTTAACGGAGCTGGAAACAGCAATTGACTTCTTGTCGAAGTTGGCAGCACCAAGCGGTAAAACTTTTGGCTATGCAGGCGACATAGATTACCTCTTCGAGGCATTGGATACAACACCATCAAGACCTTCCAAGACCGTAGCAGTAGTAACACCTACCAGGCAGTTCAGTTCCCCAGAAACACATACCCAACAACAACAAATAAACGTACAAACCTGCACCATCACAACTCAACAATACCAACCACCAGCCAAAAGACAAAAAATCTCACCCCATCTCTACACACAAACTGCAAAACAACAGACACAGTCAGCACACACACAACAAACACAGACCCAATAGCAACACCAACGTAAACAACCAACGTCCCCTCGTCAACACATGGAACATCAAACCGTGCAGAAATCACCGCCATTCAAATGCACATCACAACATGATTTTCCATCAACATCATCCGCAAAAAAACGTTCCAACGTCGGGGAGCAAATATCCCTTATCCGTCGGCAATTGCGGCTGGTCGAGCAGGCAAATCCAATAGCCAAGGAGCAAGCAAAAGGACGGCTGACGTTGCAGACAGAATGGCAGATTGTGCCGAGGCCCAAACAAAAATGCTTAAGTCAATAGAAGCAATTCTATCAACTTTTTTACAAAACAATTCGCAAAAAAATTCACTATTGTCCTTTAATAATAATTTAAAATAATTTTTTAATTTTTAATTTAATTTATTCAATATTATTTTAATAAAAAATTCTTTTAATTTTACAAATTTATTGCAATTTTTCTCTTTATTGCGTCAGCTCTGCTTTCAAGATCATTATTATCATCCACTTCGTCTTCCAGATCATCATCAATAACATCACCTGGCGGTTCATCAGATCGGTATTGTATGCACATGTTGTTCAGCGCACAACATGCATTTATAATTTGCACTACCTTTGCAGCGTCATAATGAAGGCCCCGAGATCCGATGATACATCGGAATCTGTTCTTTAGGACCCCAAAGCACTTTTCAATGACGTTACGCGAACTTGCATGCCTCTTATTGAGTTTTTTCTCTGCGGCATCTCTAGGGCTGCGGTAAGGCGTCATGAGAAAGGGCTTCAATTTGTATCCTCCATCCCCTATAAAAAAGAAAACACAAATTTAATTGATGTATTATGATATAAGATGTATACAAATTACTCACCGAGAATCCAAAATTTTCGTTTTCCATTGTAAAACTCCCTTTGCATACATTTGTCTGGACCACTCCTTTCCCATACAAATGCATCATGGTTACTTTCGGGATGTCTAGCGTCGACAAATGTTATTCGCATTTTATGGTCACATATCTAATTCGAAAAAACACAAAATTTTAAAATCGCTTTACGATAAATGTATTTACTTACCACCATTGCATTTATACTATAATAATCCTTTCTATTATAGTAAAGGGCTTTCAATTCGTCCCCTGGTGACTTGATGCGGATATGCGTGCCATCAACGCATCCAACAATTCCAGGGAACATTGTTCTTTCATAGAAAGCCTCAATTGTGTTGCGTTCTTCTGTGAGTGTCGGCTTTTTTATCCATTGGCCGCAAATGTTGTCCTCAAAAATCTGCAGACATTCCGCAATGGTTCTGCTCACTGTCGACTTCGCTGTTGAAGTCAAGGCTTCGTTCCCTAAATTCTGTTGGTAGCTTCCTGTCGCCAAAAACCGCAAGAATGTGCCAAGTTTTAAATCGGTGTGGATTTGGGTAGTACTGCAACCGGGCTCCCACTTCTCTTCCATCATATCCAAAAGAGCCCGAAAAACTTCCTTCGACACACGAAAATTGGCCACAAACCTAGAAAAAATCATTTTTTATTATTTCAAAAATGTAAAAATACAATCATACTTACTGGTTGTTAGGTACTTCAAATAAATTCGAAGCATCTCTTAAATGCCTCCGTGGCACATTTTGAACCTCCTTCACATCATCCATAAAAAATAGGGCTAAAGAAATATTAATTTTTTTATTTTTTAAGAACACAAATAGTTTGAACACAATCACTAGAAATTTTATTTTGTTTGTTTATTTACAATTTGTTTGTTTACAACTGAACTGTCAGTTGAGACAGAGCCACTGCTGCTTTTTCGCGTTTAAATTAGACATTTGGCGCTTTTTTGCCTTATTTCGCGATTAATTTTTCCAAAAAATATTTAGCAACACTGAATCATGTAAGGCTATGCGAAAGAAAGAACGAAAGTTAGTGGAGCGCATTCTTATACGAAAGTGAGTGAGTAGCCTTCGTTCGCACACATTTTCTTTCGAGATCGTGGAACAGGCTGTAAATATATGTTGCACCAATACAAATACGCAGTCACCGGTAACTTCCAACTGACTGGAAGTAAATAAGCAACAAATTGATTTGCAAATTTGGTTGCTAAACTGATGCAAATTAGGCATCGACACAGTTCGTCTTGAAATCGCGCCCGCGAAAGTTTAAAGTGGTCGCCAGTGACAAGTGAAAATCAAAGACAATAAAAAGTGAACATTTAAATTAACAAACATAATTACAGAATATTGTCATACAACAAACATCATAAAAATAATTAATCAACAAATATATAACACCAAGAAAGATCAGAAGTCACTACAAAACTTACAAAAATATATTAATTTTTACACAAAAAAAAAAAAAAAACATACATAAAAACTACATGAATTTAAACACAGAAAACCATTCATAAAATTTACATGAATTTTCACACAAAAATACAACAAAAATAACACTCATTATTATATTTAAACAACACATAAAGATAATTTGAAATTGCCACATAAAAACCAAAACCACTGAAAAATTAAAACAAATCAATAAAGATTGCACTTAAATTGAATTTTAAATATTAAATAAACGTCTTGTTAATAAAAAAAGGCATCCCACAGGTTAAGTAATAAACATTTGAGCCTTCAACGCCGGATTAAAGTGCAGTTTTTTAAATAACTAAAAACGAAAAAAAAACACATATATATATGTACATACATTAGTACGTGACAAACAAAAAGTTCATCGAACATATAAATTAACAGTGTAACAAAAAATGTTTTCATAACAAATTACAAAATAAAAAAATAGATTATTAACAAAAATTGAGCAGTGGTAAAAATTTAACGGTGGTACAAAATACAAAAAAGAAAGACAGTGGTGCAAAGTGGAAAAAAGACTGGAAAAATTAGTGTTATTGCTAAATATGACAAAACGAATTGTCGAACACAGTTGGAAAAATACGAAATATATTTAAAATTAAAAAAAAAATATATATATATAATTTTGCAAAGTGGTACAAAACTACAAAAATACCCACAAACCATTAAAAAGAATATTTTTACAAAAAGGAGACCCAGCATATTCAAAGAGAAAGACCCAGAAAAGCCAAGAAGAGACCCAGAAATTCATCAAAGTGAGTAATGGTGGAAAGTTTTTGTATTTTTAAAAACACAAAAACATATTTGTCTCCGGCAGATCATTAATATTTGTTCTGAGCCATATATGCAAATTTATTTGACACTTTTTGGAATCTGCTGCTTGCCCCATTGACATTTTTTTGTGCAATTTTCGAGAATATTAACCTAAAAATTGGCAAAAAATTACATTTGTGATGTTTTGGTCGGACGGACATTAATATAAAAGACTATCACAAAAAAGTGGAAATTTTTGGAAAGTTGGCGTCATTACAAATATATAAACACCATTTTTTTTTTCTTGGAAATTAGCTGAACGTGGACTTCAGGCATTTAACTTCGCCATATTTGTACATAGTTTTCTATATGCGTTTTTTTGGAAATTCGGCGTCATTACAAATATATAAACGCCATTTTTTTTTCTTGGAAATTAGCTGAACGTGGAGTTCAGGCATTTAACTTCGCTATATTTGTACATAAATTTTTTGGAAAGTTGGCGTCACTACGAATACATAAACTTTATATATGAAATTATGCATATACATATTGGAAAAACATAACGCCGTAAACTACATAGCGCCATATTTCAAAGCAAATAACAAAGTCTGGTGACATAGGCTTATGCCATAAATCTTAACCTCTGTGACATATTAAAGTTTTCTACGCAATTGTTGAAGTCTGATTGACAGACAAAATTAACATTTTTGAAATATTTTTTATTAGCATCTTGTGGACAGACGGAATTTAATCAACAATATTATTTCATATATTTGTTATTTAGTTTAATTAATTTTTTTTTAAATTTTTCAGCTTTTTTTTTTGTTTTATCTTGCTTTGATATAAAATATTCTAAATTTTTTGCAATAATTTTGGAAATTGTGCAACCTTTTAATTCTTTTGGATAAAAAAGGCTGTTTTTGACCCAGAAATTTTTAATTTTTTGGAATACTTTCGGAATTTTTTACATTTTGAGAACTTTTTGAAAACAATATCTGGGGTTTTGACCCAAAATTATTTTTGTGCACCGAAAGTTTTTATTTCGTTGCTGAATAACATCGTAGCGCACTTAGAATATTTGTCGCTTTAGAGAAATACTCAGATACTACTTTAAAGAAACTTACTTTTGGAGAAAAGTTTAAATTGGAAAAGCCATAAAAGCTTCCTAACAAAGGATGCATTTTTCGGAATTTTATGACAACCCAACAAACATTTTCTACTTTGGCATACATCTCACTTGGTGGATAGACGGAGCTGTCCAATAATTACTCTATAATTTTTGACTCATTTTTTATACATTGTCACTGATTTTTGTGTATATATATTTTTTTTCTTCATTCGTTTTTCTTGAAGCGGAATATTTTTTCTATTTTATAATCGGATAAAGCTTTTCTCAGTTGACCCTTCGCTCATCTAACTATATTCGAATACGTTTAAGGACGAATTTTGGAAAATAAATTTCTCCAGATTTTGGATTGAAAAGCTGTATAACCGTCGAAGCGTTCACAAAAATAAATATTTTTCAAATTTTCCCGGTAGTTTTTGGAAATATTGACCTAATAGGTAATTCGTTGCAAATTTTAAAGGAAGGTACTTCCTCGCTTTTGAACCACAAAAAGTTGAAGAAAAGTTGAATTTCTAAACAAAGTAAGTCCTTCTCGTTGAGCTTCTTTTGGATTTAGGACAATAAACCAAATTTTTGAAAGGTTTCTCGCACAAGAAGATGGACAAACCACTATGCAACAAATTCGCTAACAGCGTCAACGACTTGTTGGATTTTATTTCGATTTTTTCAATTACCAAACCTGAGGATACTGCGGACACTTTGGAAACTACACGTTTGGAATTGAATTCAGATTGGAGTCAAGTAAGGAGAGTATTTTACGATTGCAGAGGGCATGAAGCAAAGGAAGGAGAAAAGGTTATTGATAAAAACAAGTTAAGGAAAAATTACATGGAGGCGATGGACGCATATAAAAAGGCTTTAAGTGCCGTCAACATTCAATTACACAATGTTCGAGAAAAACAGATGTTGGAACAAACAAAACGAGAGTCATTAACGACACAGCAGGGAAAGGATATGAATTTTGCTTCCGTATCTCGCTTACCACCATGCGATACGGACACCTTTAAAGGAGGATATCGAGAATGGCCCACATTTAGAGACTTATTTACGGCAATTTATATAAAAGGATCAAAGCTAAGTAACGTAGAAAAACTATTTCACTTGAAACAAAAAACCACTGGCGAAGCAAAGAAAATTATTATTCACGTGCCATTGACTAATGATGGATTTGAGCTTGCTTGGAAAAATCTTACTGATAGGTATGAAAATAAACGGATGCAAGTAAATGAGGAAATAAAAACACTTTTTAATCTACCTGGAGTTTCTACCGATTCAAGTCATTCGATACAAAAATTACAACGAACTGTCAACAGCTGTATACAGACCTTGGAATTGTTAGAAATCGATGTCAAAAGATGGAATCCTCTTCTAACATAAATTTGTTCTTCAAAATTACCAAGAAATTTTCTAGAGGAATGCGAAAAATCACTGAGTAACTGTAAAATGCTCCCAGAATGGGAACAATTCGACACATTTTTAACGAACAAATTCAAAACAATGGACTCCGTTGGAAATATAAAGCCTACGACTTCGAAATTTTGTCAGCAGAAACAACCCACTTACAACAAACCCAGATCTTCGAATACATTTCAAACAAATGTCACAAATAATACGAATAATTTAGGAGGAAGGCAAAAATCTAATCAGCATCAACCACAGAACCGTACAAACAAAAATACTCAAACATGCCAAGTGTGCAAGGCTAATCACTTTGAAAGAGATTGCACGGAGTTTTTTAGAAAAAATTTAAATCATAGAAGTCATATCGTGAAAACATCTTATTCATGCTATAATTGCTTGTTAGCGCACTATGGTGTAAAGGATTGTAAAAGTCGATTTGGATGTCGAACTTGCACAATGAGGCATCATACTTAGTTACAAAAGGGAACGGAAACCCAATCTACAAATACATATCTAGCTAGAGTGGAGACACGACCTAGAACAAGTGCCAAATTAGTCAGCAACAATCTGGAGTTACACTACTCTTTACAGCCATGGTGCAGATAGAAACCAGAGGACAACTTTACGATGCCAGAGCGCTCATAGACTCTGGATCACAATCAACATTTATTTCGGAAAAACTTAAAAATCTTCTGAAGTTGCCAACAAGGAACAGCTTAGTTCATGTTACTCGCTTAAGTCAATTCGTTTCAGAGACATCAACGAAATCTTGTCTCTTTACCTTACGATACAAATTCGACCCTAGCTTTAAACTGGAAGTTTGGAAGTTTTAAAGAATTTACAATCAATCTACCACCACAAAACTTACACAAATCACAACTAAGGGATTTAACATCATTGGAACTTGCTGATCCGAAATTCTACATTAGTCGACCAATTGATTTACTCATCGGTATAGATATAGGACCTTTGATATTTACGCTTGGGATTCCAATGAAAACTTATGGATCAATTTTAACTCAAAGTACAACATTTGGATGGATTGTAGGAGGACACATTCCTGGAAATGATATCCAACAAAAACAAATTTCATTGTTAAACACAACCTCCATTGAGAAAATACTTACACGTTTTTGGGAGGTGGAAGAGACCCCTAAAAAAGTTTTACGGTCAGAAGAAGACCAATATTGCGAATCGAATTTCATTGACACAACAATACGGAACAAAAATGGAAGTTATGTTGTCACTTAAAAAATTGTGATTTAAAAAATTCGAGGAATTGGGGACTTCTAGAAATATTGCTTTAGCTCAATTCTATCGAATGGAGAGGAGACTTATGAAGAGCAGTACGACAATTCGATACTCGAGTACCTCGAACTTGGCCACATGAGGAAAATTAACCCAAATGAAATTAACGAAATGCCCAATTATTATCTGCCACATCACGCAGTTATAAAACCAGATCGTATCACAACAAAGCTAAGGGTCGTATTCAACGCTTCATGCCCTTCATCGAATAAAACAAGTCTAAACGACATACAATTTCCTGGACCCATATTACAACAGGACTTGGTACTACAAATTTTGAAATGGAGATTTTTCTAATACGCCGACATTACAAAGATGTATCGGCAAATACTTTTAGACGCAAGTCAAACAAAATATCAAAGGATTTTATTCAGGAAATCGCCATCATACCCCATAGAGGATTATGAATTACTAACAGTGACCTTTGGAGTAAATTGGGCGCCGTTTTTGGCATTGAGAACTCTCATTAAGTTAGCAGAAGATGTTAAAGATTCGCATCCTAGAGCAGCAAATATAATATTGAAAAATTAATATGTTTAT